AAGGACAAGCACATGGAAAAAACATTCAGCCGTTCTGACCTTAGAGAAATGCAAGTTAAAACAGATATTCCACCGTGTTCCAGAAAGAATAGACATTATCAAGATATCAAGGCTGCAGGGAAAAGGGAAGCCTTCTGCATTGTTGGTGGGAATGTAAAGTACTACAACCACTATGGAAATCGGTATGGAAATTCCTCAAAAAATGCAAAAACAAAGAGGGCCAGCCAGATAGCTCAGCAGACTAAAACTCCTGCTTAGGCAGAGTGCAGGGGCCAGGTTTGATCCCCCGTGTGCCATGCAGGCCATGCCCCTGGGGCGTGCTGAGAGGGCAACTGAGATTGGACACGGTGGTACACACCACCATGTAACCCCAGCACTTGGGAGGCTGAAATCAGGTGGATAACTTATGAGTCCGATCTACGTACTGAGACCCTATAGACCTTGTAATAATAATAATAAAAAACACACAGTAAAAATAGAAATCCCATTTAAGGGCTGGGGAGATAGCTTGGAAGTATAAATGCCTGCCTGGCAAGTGCAAAGACCTGGGTTCCGTGGATCTCCTATACTGCTTGCTATTCCAATCCCAGAACCGCTGGCAGGCCGTCCGGGCCACAAAAAACAGGCGTAGTGGCACATCCCTGTAATCCCAGTGCTGGGAAGGCTGAGACAGAAGGAGTACTCTGAGTCTGAGCAGCATAGCAAGTCCCTATACCAAATAAATAAATAAATATATCGATAGATAAATTAATAAAATTCCATTTAACCTATTTCCCTTCTAAGTATCTAGAATTTAAATCATCATAATAGTGATACTCCAAAACTTACTTTCAACTTATAACAACTAAATTTTGGAAGCAACCTATACGTCCATCAACAGAAAAATGCACAAAGAAAATGTGGTATTTGTGCATAACTATGTTATAATGAAGATACACTTGATTCATTTGTGGAAAAACAGATGAGACCATATAGTTAAGTGAAATAAACCAGATACACAAGTTTAAATATCACATGATTTCTCTTGTATGAGAAACTTGAAGTACAAGTCACAAAAAAGCAAAATAAAAGATAACAGGAAACAGAGAAATAAAGCTTTTGCAAGTGAGAAATGAATCAAGAGATGGAGGAACTGAGGAAGAGGGGAAGGGGAAGAAGTAAAAAGAATTAATGTGTTACATAGATATATTGATTCCCCATGATAAGACATAATTGGTACTTATTGCAAACATGTACTAATAAAAAATAAAATTTCAGGCCAGCAAGATAGCTCAGCAGACTAAGGGCCTGCTTAGGCAAGCACAGGGACCAGATTTGATCCCCAGCACCACATGCTGTGCCGGCTCTACCTCTGGGCACACTGATCCAGGAGTCTGAGTTACATAATGAAACCCAGTACAAAGTACATAAAAAATAAAATAAAATAAAATTTCACAAAATATACCTTACCTTGTCATATGAGACCATTTCTGATGCTTCCTATTTTATTCTAATTTATTAGTTTATAATCTACTTTGCTCCACTAAATTGATTTCAGGTCCTAGTCATGCACTATTGTCCATAGTTTCAAACATATGAATGAAACTATTACATAACTGAACGTATGCATCTTTCCAACGATGACCATTTCCAAAAAGCACCAACACTTAGTAGGAACTTAAAATTAGCAATTCTTGATAGACAACTGAAGAGCTGGAGGTTATTCTCAGGGAAACCAGGGTAACTGAAAACAGGGTTCTTTCTTTTTGAATTTTTACACCTATAGCATGCAGCACAGAGCCTGGCCTAGAGCCAGTTCTCAATGCATGTTGACTGAATTGAGACTGACTAGCTAATGGCACAATTTAATGCAGCATTTTGCAAACAAATTTTATGACAAAAGAAACATTTGTCTGTTGGGTGAGAGGGCACATGCCTGTCATCCCAGCACTTCAGAGGCTGAGGCAGGTGGATCATTGGAAGTTTGAGACCAGAATGGGCTACAAAGTGAGCTCAAGGCTAACCTGAGCTCTACTAGTGAGACCCTGTCTAAAAAGACAGACAGACAGACAGACAGACAGACAGACAGACAGATAGACAGACAGACAGGAGAAACATAGACAGAGACAGAAAGACAGAGACAGGAATCAGAGAGACAGAGACAGAGAGAGACACAGAGAAAGAGATAAAGAGAAAAACATTTCTCTTGGTTATTGCAACAAAAATATGCAAATTAGGAGCTCTAATTGTAACGTATTTGCCCTCAAAAACATTATGTTCCTAGGAATAGCCTCCCACTTCACAGATGCTAGGACTTTTCTTCTTTCAAGAATTCAAATTCCATAGGCCATGTGCCCAGAAGAGGGCAAACCACACCAACAGGTGCCTCTTTTGCCCCAAACGACCATTCCTCAATTTTTCTAGTTTTTCTTAACTAAAGGAACTTCAAATTTGTCAAGTTACAATCAATTTTTAAGTGAGTTATTTTTCTCTTATCAAACTATATCGTCTAATGGTGTCAGAAACTATAACATGGTCTGCGCAAACTTATAACTACAATCTTAATAATTTGTGGGGAAGAAACAAAAGAAACACACACGTGCATGTGCACACACACAACAAAAAAACCAGGCATGGTAGTGCATACCTACATTCCCAACACTTTAAGAAGCTGAGGCAGGAGGCTTAAAAAAGTCAAACTGAGGTAACTTAGAAACTTAGTGAAGCGGTCTTAAAATAAAACAAAAGTGAGTAAAAAGTTTAAAAGACTTGAGGATGTCACTCACTATGAAGGTCCAGGGTTCAATCCCTGATATGGAAAAGAAAAAAAAAAAAAAACCTTGAACTTTTCTACCTCACAAGAGATGTTACAGGTTTCAAATGACATAGTTCTTGGAGAATTAGAAAATATAAGTCCTGGCTGAGGAGATAGCTCAGCAGGCAAGTGCAAGGAACCAGGCTCAATCCCCAGTACCATGCCAAGCTGGACACTGAAACTGGTTGTGGTGGTCCATGCCTATAATCTTAGTGCTGGGAAGGCTGAGACAGGGGGATCATTGCAAGTCTGAGCTGTGTGAGACCCTGTATCAAATAAATAAAAGATAGATAGATAGATAGATAGATAGATAGATAGACAGATAGACAGATAGATAGATAGATATCCTGGAACTTCATCTTTACAGAAAAAAAAAAAAAAACCAGCACTTTCGCTTAATTTAATGAGAAGATGTGTACTAATAGTGTTTGGACAGGATATCCTGTCTGCTTCTTGTACTATGGATAAAAGTGTATAATGTATTGATTATCGAAACTGTCCTATTAA